GTGTGTGTGTGGATCATGCACTTGTTTTCTTCAGTCGTAATCACTTTATTCATGAACCCTTTAAGCCCTGACGGTATTTTTGCCTCACTGAAGTTGATGTGTTTTCTGAGTGACACAAAAATAATGACTCATAACTCGAAGACTGTAGCGAGGAGAGTTAAAAGGTTGGTATCGTTTGATAGAAAACTTTCTTAGAAAAATAATTTTTTGGTGATGTTCCCCAACATGTGTGCTGTATGTGAATTTAATTTTGTGGTGATATCATGAAGTAATCAAAAGTACAGTATTTGGGACCAAGGTAGCTTTTCTCTTAGCCCTTGACAGTTTTGAAATTGTTGTTTTGAATTTGAAGTAATGCCTCAATCAAATCTAATCTAAGCCCCAAACAATTATACTTGTTTTATTTTACTCGATGAGACCTTTCAAATGACACATAACTATCTGAGCTGTATGTTTCTGACATATTACAGAACTTCATAATTCATAAATGAAAACTTTTTTTTCTATTTATCCGCAAATAACTCAGCACTACGTATGACTTAACCAAAGTTACATGCATTGTAAAGATCAGACTCCAAGCTCTCAAATTATATCTTTTTATATTTTTGTTGATCAGAATTCAGGGGTTGCTGAGTAATTTGATTATGAATGTTTTCCTGCAGGAGGTGTCCGTCCATAAAGGGTTAAGAGAAGCAAATCCCCAAAACATCTCCATCATTAAAGAGCATAAGTGCCTTGTTTCATGCTGTCCGCTGCACAGAGTGTAAATTACAGCCTTTTATGATCATCTCATGCCTGTGGTTTAAGATGGATCGTTGTGACTGTACTTTTGTAATTTGTCTTTATAATAAAGGAAAACATCAGCTGCCCAAAGCTTTATGTAGCTGAGCAGTTTTAATGTTTGAAACTAATGAATATCAGTGCTGGTTCCTTCCAGTCAGAGATGCTGAGAAACGCCTGGCTGATGATTTAACAGAAACAGCAGTGACACTGCAGCTTATTTGTATTTTTATTTATTTTTTTATTTTATGGTAGGGATAATAAAATAAGACACTTTAAACCTTTCTAAGTTACCACAAATGTAACCCCATAATATGATCTGATTGTACTATTAAGGTAAAGTTGTTTATATATTTTTTACAAGTTTAAATCTAACAAAGTGTGAGGAAAAAATACAGTTTTTCATTTTTTACAGGAAGATTAAATAATAGACAGCGCTCGTGATTTATATATGTTATGATGCGGATTAAAGCCGTGT